AGGATCCCGCACCAATAATCACCCTGCAAATCAGGCTCTAGGGGCCACAGGTGCTCCTCACTGGGACAGAATACGTGACAGTTTGCCTCCGGCTTTCATCTCACTCTCACAACGAATGGCCCAATGGTGCTGGGCGGTAGGTATCAGGACCCCTCCCTTTACAGAGGAGGAAATGAGACCTAGTGAGGGTAAGCGACTTGCCCAAGGTCACAAAAAGAGTGGAATGGAGTTGGAACTCATCCTTCAAATGCCCTGTACCCTCAGCCGTGCCACGTGGTTCAGGGCGAGATCTGGTGTGCACCGTGATTCTGAGAGCTGTTTGGAGTACTGCTTAAGAGCAAGGAGGATCTGGGGCCACGCTGGCTGTGAGTGCTGGCTCCCTTGCTCACTAGTTCTGTGAACTTTGGCAAGTTACCTGGGCCTCAGTTTCCCCATCTGCAAAATGGGGTGTTGGCAACACTCTCCCCTCAGAGAGTTGATGTGAGGATTAAATGAGGTAGTGACTAGAATAGTCCGGGGTTGAGTGAATGTTATAGATGTCATTTTTATACATGTATTGCTTTTCCACTCTCATATAGAGTATTTATGTGTGTCGAAAGGTCAGATAGTGATGGGGACTCTGTCCTTACTCCGCGAGCGCCCAGACCATTGTTGTGGGGAGGAGGGGGCCAGCTTTCCTCCAACACCTCCTCCAGCCACCCTCTCAGCCTGGACAGTCCCGCCTCCGGGTGGGACTGTTGGGGAAGGAATCCTGGCGGAGCGCTAACAATGAGCTGCATTCTTTGGAGAGGCTGCAGCGGCACCCAGCTGATGTAAGCCCAGGGTGTGGCCAAGAGCCCCCGGAGGGCAGGTCTGCCTGCTCTGTGACCACGGAGCCACGCACGTGCCCGGCCTCCCTCCGCCAGCAGGGCCCTGCTGAGGCCACAGTGGGCATGATTTTCAGCCGTGCCTCTTCCCTTAGCTGTGTGGCTCTGGCGGCAGGGCCGGCACTGAGCAACGCCAGCAGGCGCCCTCAGGCAGTGTGGGCGGGGGGGTGTGCCTGAGGACCACGGGCAGTAAGCAGAGGCCTGAGCATGACTTGAGAGCTGTCATGAGGAAAGGCAGTGTGCCCTCAGCCTCGCCCAACCTCTGTCCTCCTGCGACCCCTCCAGGCTGGCCTGCTGCAAACTGCCCGTGGAACCTCGGGCGGAAGACCTCACCTCTCCCAGCCTCAGTTTCTGGATCCAGCCTGGATCCAGCCAACAGGAGTTCGAACCCTTTCCTGGGCGGGGGCACAGAGGGGTGCAGTGAGAGTGTGCAGTGAGGCACTGCACACCAGGCTCTGTGTGAATGGCGGCTGCCAGCTGATGCTCACCTGAGCATCTGCTCACTCTGGAAACCTCACGGCAGCCTCTACCATGGCCAGGCACAGTTTCAGACATGGGGTCGCAGAAGGAAACAAGATAAACTACAGCTTTGTCCTCACGACCTCACATTCCAATACAGGAGACAAGTGAGATTTCAGAGTGGGAATGCCGATGGGCCGGAGAGGGGTCCTGGGTGAAGGAGGCTCCAGGCAGAGAGGAGGACAAGGGCAGGTGCTGGGAGGGGAAGAGCTTGGAGTGTGTGAGGAACAGACAGCAGGCTCCTGCAGCACCTCTCCGGGAACAGGCCACCTGTCCCATTCTTAGGACGTTCTGGAGAGTCCCCCACACTGGTAATACACAGCTATGCCATCAGCTTTCCTTAGAGAACAGGTTCTTCCTAAGACCAAACCAAAGTTCCTCCTGTCACATCTGAAGCCTAAGCCTTCTCTTCCAGGGCGCCCTGGACCCAGAACAAGCTGGTTCTTCCTGCCTCCTCCTCGCCAGCTCTGAGATAACCATCACGGTGGAGAACGTTAATGAAATACCACGTGACCTAAAGCATCTTCCCACGGACCCCAGGCAACAACATGGGCCTATCTTATCAGTCCCGGGACACAGTAAGACGGGCAAAGCCCTTGGAAAAAAACTGGACCCAGGACACGAGTGTAGCCTGGGAACTAGCCTGAGTGCTGCATTCAGGAACTGGAGGGGTTTCAGGCACCTGTGGGGGAGGGGGAAATAGGTAGGTGGTACTAATGAGGGTGTTCAGGTCAGTGCCCAGGAACTAAGAGGAGAGAAAGAGGGAGCTAAGCAAATCTTAGCTTCAGGTATGGCTTGACCCGGAACCCTGAATATAACTGGCTCTCCCCCCTCCCCTTATCACCTGAATCACAGTCACTTTCCTCTCTGTGACACAATGGCATTCTCACTAGGTCTCCCTCCTTCCACTCTTGCCCCACTGCGAATCCATTCTCCACATATTTTAAAAACCATGTCACTCCTCTGCTTAAATCACCACCCATGGCTTCCTGATGAACTTAAAATAGAGCAGAAACTCCTTATCAAGGCCCCAGAGGCTCCTGTTGACCTCCCAGTCCCGTCTCTTTGTCCTCTCCCCTCACTGTCCCTTGAGCACACCATGCTCAGTCCTAGCTCACAGACTCTGCACCTGCCGTTCGCTCCTGGAACGTTGCCCTGCGGCCTGCCCAATGGGACTGGGCAGCTCAGAGGGCAGCGCCCTCAGCCGTCGCAACGCCCCAGCCTCTCTTCACTCTCCAGATGGGCACCGTCTAGTTGGACTTTTCGCGATGACAGAAATGTCCTCTCTCTGCTGCCTAGTACAGTACCCACCAACCCCATGTGGCTTACGAGCACCTGAAATGTGGCCACTGAGGCCAAGGAATCTTTAATTTTACTTAATGGAAACTTAAATGTGGCTGGTGGCTGACGTACTGAACAGCGCGACTCCAAGGCTTTGCTGAGGTGTGCTTTCCCTTCCTCTCCCTTAGCATGATTCCACCTTATCTTCTCTCTTTGTCTATTGTCTGTCTCTCTGACTACAGTGTATGCTCCATGAGGGTCAGGAATGTGTCTGTCTTGTCCACTGCTGTGTCCCCAGGCTCAGACTGGGCCTGGCCTTAGGATGTGCTCAATACACATTTATTGAATGAATGAAGGACTCCTATGGTCCGGGCCATGAACTCTGGAGCTACCCAGCTCTCTGAAGGAATGCTAGTTCTTTTTTTTTAAAGATTGTCACCTGAGCTAACAACTGTTGCCAATCTTTTTTATTTTTCCTGCTTTTTCTCCCCAAATCTACCCAGTACATAGTTGCATATTTCACTTGTCCTTCTAGTTGTGGCATGTGGGACGCCCCCAGCATGGCTGATGAGCGGTGCCATGTCCGCAGCCAGGATCCAACCGGCAAACCCTGGGCCGCCGAAGCGGAATGTGCGAACTTAACCGCCGTGCCGGGCGGCCCCCGGAATGCTAGCTCTGCTAGGGACTTGCAGTGTGACCTCAGGTCAGGATCTTGCCCTCTCTGGGCCCAGTGTCTTTATCTATAAAACAAAGGGCTGGAGCTGAGGGTCTCCAAGGGCCCCTCTGTCCTGAGGCTCTGAGGCATCCTGCTCCTTTTCTTTGCCCAAGATGCCCTTCATTTACGCATCTCCTCAACTCCCCATCGCCCCCTGGGCCCCCCAGCCACCTCACAGGAAGGGCGACCAACAGGCTGTGTGTGGGAGTGATCACATCAGGCCCATGAGCAAATGGCCTCAGGCAGCACTCGTGGCAGATGACGAAGGGGTGGGCTGTGGGGGCCGTGTCCCGTCACAGACTCTCCAGCTGGTCAGGGCAAGGGCCCTAGGAGCCAGGCCAGGGCAGGCTGGCAGCTGCAATGTGTGAGTGCACCAAGAGTGGACTCCAGAGCCCTCCAAGCCTGGACCCTGCAGCCAGCCTGCCCTTGCCCTTGCACCCCAGAGCAGGCTGGCAGGGGCTGCTTGGACCTTATGTACGTCTTATGGGGACAGGCAGAGGGAACTGAGAAGCTGGTGCTGATTGTGAGAGATTCGAACCCTGACCCCCAGCATCCAACACACACACACACTCACTGCATGCACACATATATACACTCAGTCAGACACACACACAGCTACAGAAACTGACATACACTCACACACAGGCATGGACGCACCGAGATGCTCATACATACAACAGACATGCAAGCAAACACAACTCAACCAGGCAGAGCAGACAGCAGACAACACACACACACAGTGTAAACACACAGGCAATCCCACAGAAACAGGACATGCAGGTATCAGGGCAGCTGGATAGCGCAGCTACCCACAGACACACACAGACAGGCGGCACCGTCTCACACATACACAGCAGACACACAGAGTACGCCTCCGTACAACCCACACGCACACTCACACGTCATGGACCCACGATAAACAGGTCACTATGCACGTAGATGCATAACGTGGCCATGCCTCTATTCACTCTCAAAGGCAGCCAGACCCCACCGGACATGCACGGACACTGACACCCAAGGAGATGCTATATCATAACTTTCATGCACAAATGCATGCACGCATGCAAGGGATGGCCCCTACAGTGACCTGGTGAACCAGAGGGTGAGAACTCAGGCATGCGGGCTCCAAAGAAACCTCCAAAGCCAGCCTGGCCACATGCAGGGCTGCAGGCCAAAGAGCGGCAGCCTTTCCCTGCCCTGGCCAGCTGGCTATCCTCCAGGCCCTGGTGCAGATGGGGGGGCCAAGGAGGGGGTGGTCCAGCTGGCCGCCTGTGTTGCCTGCCTCTTGCAGTCCCAGCCTGGGCATAGTAGGTGTTAAAACAAGAGCTCGGAGCTGGGCCCGGGTGTCCAGAATGGGCAGGAAGACCAGGCTGGAAGCCAGGTTTGCGGAGAGCCGGCCGGAGGTCTGCCCCGCCCCCGCAGGTCCCGCCCCGCAGGCCCCCGCCTAGCACCCCGCCCCGGCCCAGCAGCGGTCAGGGGCTGGCGGCCTGGGCGCCAGTCCACCAAACCTGAACGTCCCATGGCCGCGCCCCCACCTTCCTGCGCCTGCACAAGTTACCTTGCGCCCGGCGGCCCTTCGTCCCGCCCCCGCTCCCATTGGCCGAGGCTCCCTTTGTTAGCGGGCGAGCCGCTGCCATAGGCCGGCAGGGCCGCCGGTCGCCCGGCCGCGGCCCCGCCCCGCCCCGCCCGCGCCGCCCGAGCGCGCAGCCGCCCCGCTCCAGTTGCTGCGGCCGCGCGGCGCCGAGGGCAGGGCGGCGGCACGACCCGGAGCGGCAGACCCGGCGCGCGGGGCGGGCCGCGTCCATGGGCCTGCGGCGGGCGCTCGGCGGCCGTGCGGGCGGGCGGCGGGGACCTCGCGCTCTGTGAGGCCCGCCCGGGGCCCCACGCGATGGGAGGCGCCCGCGTCCGGCGCCCGCGAGGCCCCGACCGCCGCGCGGCCGGTGAGAGGCGGCCGGCCGCGGGCATGCGGCGGGCCCGCGCTGAGCGGCCCGCCCGCCGCCGTGGATGCTGCCGCCGCCGCCGCCCGTCCGCCGTCCGCCGCGCAGCGCGCCGGGCCTGGCCGGGCTCGGGGCCTGCGCCGCCGCCGCGCGACCATGTCGGCGCCAAGGAGAACCCGTGCGGAAGTTCCAGGCCAACATCTTCAACAAGGCAAGTCAGAACTGCTTCAAGCCGCGCGAGTCCCATCTGCTCAACGACGAGGACTGACGCAGGTGAGCGGGCCGCGCGGGCCTCGCGGGCGCGGGTGCGCCGCCGGCGGGGGCGTGCGGGGTCCGGGGCGCGGCGCGGCGGGAGCGCGCGGCGGCGCGGGACAAAGGGAGGCGCTCCGGTCGGCCGCGGGGCGCCTCCTCCCGCTCCCCGCGGCCCGCCGCCCGTGAGTCGTGCCGGGGTGCCGAGACTCCAACGTGCCTGCTTCTCCGCGGAGGGGACACAGGGCTCGGGAGGGGCCCGCCGCTGCCAGGACCCCGGCGTCTGTCTTGGGCCGGGCTCGGACTCGTCCGCCCGGGGCGGCTGAGGCCGGAGGACTGTGCGGTGGCCCGTGGGCGCCCTCTCGGTCTGGCGCAGCCGCCCTTTCCCCGTCGTGGTCGCCTCGGCGGCCGGAGAGCGGGGCAGGGTCCCGAAGGCTGGCACGAGCGTCCGGCCTTCGAACTTCGGCTGGGGGGCCCGCTGTCGGCGGGGGGCTGGGGCTCCTCCCCGCCGGGCGCGGAGTGGGGACACGGGGTCGGAGGGCCGGGCCCCTTGCCTGGCCCGCGCTGTCGGGAGAGGGCTCGGTCCCGTCCCGGAGCTCCCGGGTCGGCGTCAGAGCCGCCGCCTCCAACGACGCCGAGTCCTGGGCCCGTGCCCGTGGAGTGGCTTCGGAGAGGAGGGCTTTGTGTGGGTGACAGCGGCCTGGGAAGTTGGGCTGCGGTCCCCAGTGGCCCTTGGGCCCTCAGCGGTCGCCTGCACTCCCGGCGCCCAGGGTTCTCCGGAGCACGGGCAGGGCTTTCGGACGTGCGGGGTCCTTGCCTCCCTGACCCAGCCTCGTCTCCGTCTCCTCAGGAGGCGTCTGTGGCCCCTCCTCGCCGTCTTGCCCAGCCTCCATCCTCTAAGAGCTTTCCCTCCCCTCCCCGAACGAGACCAGGGGAGCTCCTTTCGCATTCCAGCCCGGTGTGACCCAGGTGTCGCCGTCCCTTTGCAGGAGAACCCCCGAGATGGAAAACATTGCTTTGAAGTGCCTCGCCTGGCTGTTTTTCATGGTGCTTAAGTGCTCCCAGGGTTTGACTTGTTTACATGGCAGAGCGGAGTCGGGTGGCAGGGCAGGGGTTGTGGCCTGGGATGTGGTGCCTTCCTCTGAGGTCAGGTTCCCAGCAGCCAGCGAAAGACCCCTTTTATCTAAAACCAAAAGCTTAACCAAACACTCAAGGCTGCAAAGTCATAGATTGTCAGGGCAGAAGGGCCAGGTCAGCTTGGGAAAGGGTGGACCTCAGTTTCCTGGTGAGTGTTCTGGGGTGGGGGGTGAGCTTTAAGGGAGGTTCTCTCTTCTTGACTGGACGCCTTTTTCTGGGAAGCAGTTTGTGTGCTGATGAGGGTCCTGGACCAGGAGTCAGGAGACTTTGCTTCTAATCTTCCTGTCACTTTCAGCTGCACGACCTTGAACAAGTCCCTTTGTACAGTTTCATTTCCTTTTCTATGAATTGGGACTAGGGATCCCTGGCTTACCACCCTCACCAGGCTGTCGTGGAAAGCAAGGAATGGTCTTATTCAACTTTTTTCTCTTACAATTTAAAAGACAGAAATTGCCTACCGAATAGGGAACTTGGGTTTAGGAAGTTTTTGGGCTTGGCAAGGGTTGTTCTGAGAGAGATTCATGGTTACTCCAAGCGACTGCCAAAATTGGTAAATTGGGTATTTACACCTCATCGGGCCTGTTTTCTGATTCTTAAGCTTAGATAAACTAGAGTGAAATCTGCATAGTTGAGTTGAATCTGTTAAAAATTAAAAGAAGTCTGTTGATTATTAATTGGATTCAAGAGAGGTTGTCAAAAATTTGAAGTACTTTACTCTTTTCATTGTATTCGCAGTTTAATTGTGGATTTTGACACAGACCCGAGTCTTGCAGGGCACAACTGGAACGGTAATTTCTGAAATAATGCGTGGGGTTGTTTATGCTGGGAGAGATCAGGCCAGCCTTCTACCTCCTGGGATCTTTCAGGAAGAAACTGCTCTTGAAAAGAGGAGGAGGGAGACCCCAGGGCTGTTGCCAATAACCTTAGCTGCTGCTCTCTGCATCCGGCCCTCCCCGGCCTCTTACTCTCATCCTCCTGGCTCCATCAGAAAACCTCAGCCAGTCGGTTCCCATCAGTCTCCCCTTGGTTCCTGCTGCCCCTCCCTGCCCAGAGCTCGTTTAGACCGTCAAGGCTGGAAGGTAGACCAGTGATCATTGAGGCCACCACCCTCTAAGGCGCTATCTTTCAAGAGTTTCAAAATGGGGTAATTTAGGAAGACTGTGTAAGAAAGATTGGAGGGGAAGAAACTAGAGCTGGTATTTTAATATTCTAATGTCAGGTATTAAGGATCTGACTTCAGATGATAGCAATGAAAATAAATGGGAGGGGATGGAGTTAAAAAATAATCACAAATGAAGAATTATCAGATCTTGGAAACTGAAAGAATGCGGGTGGTAAAGGAAAAGTCAAACATGACTTGAGATTTCAATTAATCTCAATTCCCTAGATTCTTCTTATCTTTTACCCTAATAATTCATCCGGCTGTATTTTTATTTACTCAGTAGCATTTTGTACTTTAGATTTTTTTAATGGATTAATGTTATCGTCTACTTTCTCTGGAGAAATACTTTACTCTTGTGTTTCAACTCCTAGAAGTAATTTAGGGTATTAAAATTGTTGTGGACTTCACAAGGTTGTTAGCTATCATAATCTTAATTAAAAAAAAATTGTTGTAGAGACTATTAGCTGGGATTTTTCCAGCGACTATTGAAAGAGCTTTGAGATAAGAAAACAGGCACAAACTATGAAGCGGAGGCAGGTAATTACTACTTTCTGTTGAAATCCCCAACAGTTGGGATTAGGCTTCTTTTGTGCCAAAACAATGGCAGTGTTTTCCAAGGGTTGTCCTAACCCTCTCGGTAGTGCCTGATTTGCTTGTCTTTTTTTTTTAATATTTACCCCATTGTAAAAACTGCTCTTGTTTCTTTGAATGTTTTCCTGCTGATGAACTAGATTGCTTTGAAAAATGTTTTATACGTTATCTTCAAAAATCATATTGCATCCAGGCAAGCTGATGAAGAATTCCAGATCCTGGCAAACTCCTGGCGATACTCCAGTGCATTTAACCAACAGGATATTTTTCGGTATGGTGGATTTTGATGAAGGTTCTGATGTATTTCAGATGGTAAGATCTTTGGTTTATTCTATTAAGTAGGAATAGGTAAACTGGAAAAAGTGGAATACATCTTTTCCCATGGCCACAAGAAGTTAAATAGGACTTGTCTTATGTAAAATCTAGAATAGTTAGTGAAATAGAAACTAAACTTGAGCTAACCATGAAATGTAATGGTCAGCGCTAACCTTTTAGAATATGGAAATTGGGTAGTAATCAAGTAATTTTATATATGTTTTTTGTTGTGGTAAAATATGCATAAAAATTACCATTTTAGCCATTTTTTTTGTTTGTTTGTTTTTTAAAGATTGGCACCTAGGCTAACAACTGTTGCCAATCTTCCTTTTTTTTTTTTAAGGATTGGCACCTGGGCTAACTGTTGCCAATTTTTTTTTCTTTCTCTTTTCTGCCTTATTTCCCAAACCCACCCCGGGACATAGTTGTATATCTTAGTTGCAGGTCCTTCTAGTTGTGGGATGTGGGACGTGGCCTGACGAGCGGTGCCATGTCCACACCCAGGATCCGAACCCTGGGCCGCCGCAGCGGAGCGCGCGAACTTAACCACTCGGCCACGGAGCCGGCCCCATTTAGCCATTTTGAAGTGTACAGTTTATCAAGTAACTTTGTAAATCACAGCATAAATCCCGCCATTATGCCACCATTATGTAATATTGAAGTTCTTAGTATAGCTAGGCACCTGTCTTTACCCCCTTGCTCTCTTGTGCTTAGTGGAAAAGCTCCTTCATCTTGTTCAAAGCTTAAGCCTTTTTCTGTGCCCTGGATCCCGTACCCACCCACTCTATCAATCATGACCTCTCTCACTTGTATTTTTTTTAATTAAGACTATTTTTTAGAGCATTTTACAGGTTCACAGCAGAATTGAGGGGTAGATAAGAGATTTCCCATATACTCCCTGCCCTTACACATGGAGAGCCTCCCCTTTTATCAGCATCCCCAACCAGAGTGCTACATTTGTTACAGTTGATGAACCTACATTGACTCATGATAATCACCCAAGGTACATAGTTTACATTACAGTTCACTCTTGGTCATATACATTCTACTGGTTTGGGCAAATGTATAATGACATGTATCTGTTAACACGGTATCACAAGGAGTATTTTTACTGCCCTGAAAATCCTCTGTACTCTGCCAATTCATCCCTCCCCTCTAATCTTTGGTAATCACTGATCTTTTTACTATCTCCAGTTTTGCCTTTTCCAGAATGCCATATAGTGGGAATCATACAGTATGTAGACTTTTCAGATTGATTTATTTCACTTAGTAATATGTGTTTAAAGTTCCTCCATGTCTTTTCAGGGCTTGATAGCTCGTTTCTTTTAAATGCTGAATAATATTCCATTGTCTAGATGTACCAGAGTTTCTTTATCCATCCACATACTGAGGGACATGTTGGTTGCTTCCAAGTTTTGGCAGTTATGAGTAAAGCTGCTGTAAACATCGGTGTGCAGGTTTTTGTGCAGACGTAAGTTTTCATCTCCTTTGAGTAAATATCAAGGGGCATGATTGCTGGATCATATGGTAGGAGTATGTTTAGATTTGTAAGAAACTGCCAAAATATCTTCCAGAGTTGCTGTATCATTTTGCACTCCCAGCAGCAAAGAATGAGAGTTCCTGTTGCTCCACATCCTCAGCATTGGCTCTTGTCAGTATTCTGCTATTTGGCCATTCTAATAGGTGTTTAGTGGTATCTCGTTCTGATCTGCATTTCCCTGATGAATTATGATGTGGAGCATCTTTTCAAATGCTTATTTGCCATCTGTATATCTTCTTTGGTGAGACGTCTGTTAGGGTCTTGTGCGGGGTGGGGTCT